CCTTGCCTTATCCAGCCCGATTACTGCGGCCTCCTCCGCCCTGCGTGCTTCCCGAAATTCGAATCCGGCGAGATCCGCGGGCAGCAGAACAACTTGTCAGACGAAAGATCTCCTCCACATTAGCACTCGGACCTCTTCCAGCAAAAGTTCACTCGACAAAACCAGGAACGGATCAAGGCGACTGAAAAAGAAGTTGGTGTCACGACCTCGGTTCGTCGATCCAAAACAAGACACACCCGAAGCGCGAAAAATGAGTCGGAAGTATTTTCAACTCCTTCTCCACTCAAACCCCGGTCCATTCGGGGGCTAATGATGAGGACATGTATCTAGGGTAGGGTCACAGGCCTGACCTAAGTACCCTCCCCAAGGACATCACTCTAAAGCCAGAAGCATTCGAGGGGTACCATTATCCACTCGACCAGAAATATTTCCACTCGGAGGAATCAAGGTCACTCGACCGTAACAAGAAACACTCGACGGACAGAAGACCTAAAGTCACTCTACACAGCAATGGTCGGGCGTTAACTCCTAGACTTAATAGCCATTTCTAACACCTTATTACGGACGTTACCAGTAACACCCCCCTCTTGATGTACCTTAAATTCCTTGTAACGTGGGCTGGCTGGGGTCCTGGCGCACTCTATATAAGCCACTCCCCTCCACATGCACAAAGGTTCGCACCCCCTGTAACACACATGCATATAATCCAATCGACCGCCTCCGGGCACCGAGACGTAGGGCTTTTACTTCCTCCGAGAAGGACCTGAACTCGTAAAACTCGTGTGTACAATTTTTTTATAGCTAGGATCTTGCTTCTACATATCTATCCTTCATTCTACTGTCAGACTTAGAACCATAACAGAGGGTGCAGAAGCCGCAAGTGAAACTGTCTCCTGGTGCTGAACCACTGATGCGAATGGCCAAATCGTTGAAGCTCGCGTGCCACTGAAGCGTGAAGGTCTACATGCCAGAGCCAGTTTTAACAGAGGAAACAAGAGGCGGAAAAGGAAGAAATCGCAAAACCAGATAAAGCCCACTCTCCCGCGCCTCCACCACTCGCTCTCCCGGCCTCCTCCAGTCTACCACCACCATGCCCGCCTCCCTCCTCCCCCCGACCTTCCTCCCCCACCATCGCCAGCGCCACCGCCTCCGCCTCCCCCTCCCCGTACCCAGCTGCACCACCTCGTCGGCCTCCGTCTCCGTCTCCGCCGCCGGCCCCGCCAGCCGCTACGACTTCGAGCCGCTGCTCGCCTACCTCTCCGACCCCTCCAC